GCAGGATGCCCTGCACCAAGAGCAGCGTGCGCAAGCACCCCAGACAAGACAGTACTTGCAAAGGGTGCATGGGGAAGCACACAACCCTCCAGCACGGAAGAGGCTTGGATGGCGCACAGTGCCCGTCGTCGCATCGTTGGAATGGAAGGTTGATCCATGAGTCATCCTGTGTCTGGCTCGCTGGAGTGGATGGCCGATGTTGAGGCAGCATTTGCTCATTCATGGGCTTGTAGGTCGGTAGCGGGAAGCTTGCAGCCAGTGGCATTGCGGTTGCAACACAGCCTTAGCTTGAAGCACGGGAAGACAGTTGGGCCGTCTACGGCCTGGAGTCTTTGCCCAGGCCGATCCATCCTCACCTCAAGCCCTTGATTCGGGCTGCCGTGGATGCTGGTGCTCATGGAGCGTGCTGGGCTCATCCGCGTCGATGTGAACGATTCATCCTTGCCCCGGGCTCTCAATCACACCCGGTTCCGAGAACCGGAAAAAGAGGACTGAGGGTATATATGAGCTTGGTACTCGTATCTATGCATGTTCTCGCGGCTTTTTCTGCCCAGGTCCAGACCAGCCGCACTGCACAAAATGTGCCATAAACGCCGTTAAGGTAGTGTAACTCTTCATGGTAGCCATGTGAGCTTAATGCCTCCTGCATCGCAGAAACGACTTGTGGAAATGCTAGTCCAATAGTCTCCTGAGCCAGCAACACCCGGGATTTTGCAAGCCAAAAGCAGCTAGCTCAGACAGTGAAACCTGGTCAAATCAAACGAGGTTGCGACGCGAAGCCCGCAAATGCATGGTATCTTCCCATAAGGCGCTCAACGTTGATCGCGAGCCCAATGCCCAACCAGCCCAAGCCCTAGGGTATGCGTGGCGCGCAGAAGAAACCAGAAAGAAGTGCTGGACAGTAAGAGTTGAAGGCAGCATTTGGTTAGAGGGAAGTGGTGTTAGCAACAACTTACGTCGCTCGGCGCATGGCCGAAGCTCGACATCGGGACCGTGGCCGAGCCATGATTGAGATGTAGTCAGTGTGAGCTCTGTTGGGGAGCCGTGGACTTTCTGCTTTGTTACGGGCCGGGCCGTCTTCGCAGTATGTCATGGGCAGCCAGCTGTAATATAGGGACTGAATAGGGTTCTCGGGGGTCAAACATTATACTATAAGTATAGTGAGGAATCCTACAATAGTGTTGGTAATTGTTTAGGCCCCTGTATTACACAGCCTGCAAGTTTCTTGGTTTGGTGCGAGGGTGGTGGGTGAATTGCACAGTTAGGTATACGAGCATACCTGGCATGCCTCCGTGTTTGGCCCAGGGGAGGCTTTCGTGCTCAGCCCAACTTGCCCACAGAACATTCCAACTTGAAGCATGCTCGGGACTCGGCACTTGGAATCTGGCGTCGCCGCACCGAGCCAGGTGAGCGCCGCCGGCACAAGCGACGGCGGAACCGCAGTGCGGGTCTAATTGGGGATCGGATCAGCGTTTCTGGTTGGAGGATGTTGGTCTACACTGCCAGAGCCGAGCAGGGAGCTGGGAGCTGCTTCTGTCGCCAAGCGACGCTACAAGCAATTTCGCCAGCTGAGGCCATGACAGTGGGAGCCAGGAGCAACTCGGCAAAAGGTGAGAACGGAGGTCTGTGGAAGCGAAGCGTTTCGGGTTTCGGGATGCTTAGACTCCAAGTTCATTTCAGACTAGCTTTAGTCGTGATTACTTGACCTGACTGCATCAGGCTCTCTGATGAAGTATGCAGTTCGGCCCAATAGCCTTCCCCCACATGGCATCTCCTGCAGGCTTTCGAAGTTTCTATGCTGAATTAAACCCCAAAACCCTAATCCCTACCTTGCTAAGTAGGAGGGAAAAGAGTCCCTGAACCAAGTAGGAGGGAAACATCCATGAACCCTCAACCCATGTTGCCGTTGTTAGCCCTGCGTTCCGTGAATCTGAGCCTAGGCCTGCCGATCGTCCCGAGCGCTGCCTGGCACAGCATTCGATTGGAAGTGTCTTCGCACGAAAACACACAATAGTTGGTTTGAAGGTTTAGGATTTAGGGTGCCTCCTTGGCTCTTGTCACGACTTTCGGTGTTGACGAGTTCGTTTTCCGCGTTTGTCTGTGCGCGAACACTGCTGGCCAAGAAGCGAGGACACTAAGCATTTCCCCTTCTGTTTCGGTGAGACGTACCCGCCGGGGAGCCAAGACCCCAAGCCCACTCCCCTGGACAATGCCAACGACGATGGCAAATATTTGCCCTCCAAAAATGAAAACAACACAGAAGTCATAAGGGTTGTCATGGCACTTGGCAGGTGTTTGAGTCTGAGTTTCTCGCGACTAGTCGCAAGGACGATACCACTCAGTCCAGGCTCAAATCATCTCAAAACTGCTCGTCGAATAAGAGTGTGTGTATAGCCACATGTGTACAAGAGTTCAGCCCCAATTCTTAACGTCACCGCCGTGCCTGCCCCACCAAGCTTCAATTTCCGACAAGAATACTAATAAGATAGTAAAGTACTATTAACAATAATAATGTTAATAACAACAATAATAATTGTAGCAATAATGAAACCCTACCCACTGCATTCGCTGGCAGCCGCCTGCCCGACACCGCAGCTTCCGGGCTGAGGAATTTGATATGCGCGCGCAATGCCGACCTGGCTGGACCTGAAACCGTTCTTGTACCGGCTTGTAGATGTCGGCTCACCTTCAAAATGCACTTCTGCAGAAGGAAATGGCGCCATGAGGCTTCTCGTTGAGGTTACCGCGCACAGGAGTTACCGAACTCTTGTCCAAAACTTGCTCAACTACTTGTGCGGTCGTGTGACGCTTTGTTTGTTGGTGCGTGCGTGAGAGTGTGTGTCCTTCTTTCTGTGCCCATTGACGTTTCCTTTAGATTGCATTTCAATCGTGGCCATCCGAGTCATTTCCCAGGCTCCAACGGTCGACGGGAGAGGCTGCGTCAGCACGTGCAGTAGGAAAAAGGTTTGCACAAGACTGTGATGGCCAATGGCGATCTTATTGGACGCCTCTGGTTACTTGTACCAGTTTCAGGGCGGATTGCAGACTGGAAGAGCAGCTGTCTGCCCAAGTTGGGAGCCAACGTTTCATTTCCTGCAGGCGGCGGCGACGTCGGCGCAGCAGCGAGAGCAGCGAGGGTCAAAGGCAATCAATCGCTTGTGAACCGTGCTGCGTGGGTTGGAGCGGTGTCCCGGTATCCCAGTACCTAGCAGGGTGTCCTTTGCCATACATGATCTTTGAGATCCCAAGCTATGTGCTGCTGTCGCCTTTGGCTGCTTCGCACCTGGCAGGAGGCGGCGCTCTCCCAGATGCAGGGATGGAGGACCTTCGTGGTTTGTGACGGAGTAACCAAGGCCTGGCCATGTTCCTCTCATCGGATGTCATTTGGGCAGCCAGCATCGCTGCATAAATTCGAGGACTGACAGATCCGCCCGTAACTGTCAATGCACAGCCGCAGTTCCAGACGCAGGACCGCCACACATATCGCCAGAGCCTGGACAGCAGCTGGGTGATGAAGGCCAGCATGAAACGGTGCCCGGAACACTGCGGCTGAGAACGAGCAGAACTGCTTCTTAACCTCATGTCACAAGCTTCCGTTGCTTAGCAACAACGTCTGGCCACGACTCGGCTCTCTCCTAGCATCCCTACTGCAACAGCCCTTTCGCGAGGAACACCTGCATGAGGACCCTTGCCATGATACCCCCCGCCCCAAAAGTCCCAACGCCCGAAACCCTATCCATGCCCCCAGGCCGCTACATTGTCCAGCACGCTCTTGGGGATGGCGCCTCGGGGCGCGTCCTGCGCAGGGTGCTTAAGCGGAGTCTGCGCGACAGGTACTTTGTTTGCCCCTTCCTGTCTTCGAATGTTGTGAAAAACTGCATGGCTCCAGGCTGCTAACTTTGCTGCTTATTGTTTCTTGACTTCACGTCTGCTGTTCGGTTGATTTCTGGGTAGCAGGGGGCTTGCGGCGCTAGCGCCCTTCTCAGTGGGACCAAACCCTAAGCCGCAACTCTGCTACCCGTGCCTCAGCCAGCTGCGACAGACACAGATCAATTCTCAGTCGATGAGGCTGCCACGACGAGGTCGAAGGTACCGCAGTAGCAGTGACACCAAGCTGCAATTAGAGTCCCGACACCCTGCGTGAACGAAGATTCAGTCTGGAAACAGGGTGCAGTAAGCTTTCAGGCACCCTCACCATTCCCCAGCGCAAGCTGGCAAATGTTTAATTACTTCGGCACGTCAGGAAGGTGTCCCGACCTTCAAGGCGGACCAGGAGGACGGGGCTTGAACACCTCTTCCCCGTTGAAACTTCAGGAAGTGTCTGCTGCTATGACAGTCCATCTTGTAGTCCGAAGTGGCGCATGGTAGCTCTGGAGACTTGAGACGTAGCCCTTCGCTGCCTGGATGCCTTGATTTTGGGCTGACTATCCCCCTGAACGATGCGAGAGTCGTAATTCCGGAGTGGAGCAAAAATCTTGCCATGCCCGACCTGCACAGGCATGCCGAAACGGAGGTCGCCATGCTCCGGAAGCTGCAGCCGCTGAGAAGCCCTTAGACATTTCTTGAAACGCAGAAGCTGATAAGACTTTAAGAGATTCGGGGGGAGAGGCCGCTACCACAGCTCCATGAGGCTTCAACACAGCCGTGGTTCGGACAGTCTCCAGCCTTGGCCTGTCGAAAGTCTTCCGTCTGCTCACAAACGAAGCATGTCATGTCTTTGATCTTCGAGAGCTGTGCCCATCGATCGGAATCAGCAAATGGAGTAGCACCGATCCGCAACCGATGGCAATAGCTGCAATGCGCCAGCAGAGGAAGCATGACCCCGACCTGGCACGGAGACACGTTGTACGGCTGCTGGACACCTTCGTGCACGTGCCTCGATGAACTTTGGACTCTGCAACTGTTTTGCAACTTCGAAGGCATACCGGCCCGCTGAAGTGCAACCAAGGAGGAGAGTTTCTATTGCATTGTCATGGAGCCGCTGGCCATGAGCCTTCGAAACCTTCTCCAGGACGTATCTACAGACATGGATCTCCTCAACCTTCAGTCTACCACTAAGAGACTCCTGCATCGCCAAACCCAAATCTCCCGACTCTGCAGGAGGGCAGCTCTGGCGGGCTCTTCATGGCCGCTTGGCTTTGAGGATGCCAGAAAGTTGCGTTTGCGGCTCCTGCAGAAGCTCAGGCCGACATCCGCCTTGCAGCTTTTCAGCTCACCAGCTGCCTTGCTTTCTTCCAGAGCCTGAACATGGCACACGGCGATCTGAAGTCACCCTGGCTGAATTCGGACGATCCATCCATTCGGCCGCCCCCCCCTTCTAGCAGCAGCAACAGCAGCAGCAGCAAGCAGCAGTGGTGGTGCAGTCGTCGTCGTCGTAGAGTCGTAGAGGTGGTGCAGGTGACAGAACGAAGCCCCAACAAAGCGACCGCTTTTCGCATGAAGGCACACGTAAACATCACATTGTGTCAGCCTCCGTGCGTCTATGCGCGACGGCTGTGTTGCACCGAGCTCCGTGTTTGCATCGTGTGTCTGTACTGACGGCATACTGCAGCCCTTCATAAGGGTGTCCATAAGAGCCCGTTACGAGGGTAGTGTCCCTAGGCAGAGGTCTGCGTCACTGATGACCTGACAGCGTAGATAGTAAATAGGCTGGCAGATGTAACGTTGCGACAATGCCTGTTGCACTGGAATCCACTGGAAGCTCAGGTGCACGAACGTGATGCTTCGAAGGTCAGAGTTTAGTCTCCAGCCGCACCCCAGATTGGGGGATCCAGACGAGGTGCTTCTGCCAAGAGAAGTCCGTGTCCTGCACGCCAGACACAAGATTTTTCCAGCTATTTCCGGAAAACAGTACCATCGCAGATCATCGTCGTCTATAGACATTCGGGGGTGGCATTCATGGGTTTTCCGCGCTGCAGGTTGCCGCTCGGCCGCTTTGGCCTTTCGAGGCCCCGGAGATGGTTTTGTTCTGGCCACTTAAGCCAAAAAAACCAGAGTCTCGGTAGATTCAAGGAGATCACCGGCTGACCTTTGCATTGTCCAGTGCCCGAGCTGCGTAGAACCTCGATCACAGAGGGCCTTCCGTGCCTCATGGACCATGGCGCTGCACGACTCTTGTCAGCCACATGGTCAGATTTCTGCTTGAAAGTTGAAAGTGCGCTGGCGAAGGGTGCCACCCTCGGCACACCAACTCCTGCCTTCGGGCACCCTGTCAGACGGCCAGGCTACTGCGCCCCAATAAGATGCATCCTCAAAGCAGCATTCCCACGATTTTTCTCCATGCAGCCTGTGTCTTGCAACCTTGCCAATCCGAGGAAGGTCATCACCCTCAGCTCTATCCCATGTGGGTCGTGGCCATGGAAGACCTCTTGCAGATGCACGGTGTCCCTCCGAGCCACCAAGAGCTCAAGGACGCAGGCCGATGTCGAAGACACCCTCTTCCTTCATTCATTTAGTGGGGATGCTGTAGTACTGAAAATGCCCGCCAGTCTGAAGATGACGATAATGACACCACGGTCTGTTTGTAATGCAGATGACCTGTCGGCATTCCGCACTGGTAGGTCTCTTCAATGTGGTAGGGTTTAAGCTTGTTCTGCCAGTGGTCCATAATGTCGGGCGTTCCAGAGGCTTGCTTGTGGAGTGCACGCCTTCCTTTCACTCGGTCTTCGTGTCGCACCAGTGGCTGGGGAAGCACCATCCCGATGAGAAGGGAAGCCGCTTGCCTGCACTTAGCATGTCTGCGTTCTGCTCTTCCACCCATGCGAGCTGCCTCCTACCAGTACCATCCGCGACGCCGTCAGAAGCTGAGAAGAAGATGATGACGACGATGACGACGATGATGATGGTGACGGCAAAAACAATGACGGCGAGGGTCCACTATTCACGGTTTGAAGAAGGCGGCGCAGAGGAGGATGTGGACCGCAATAATCATCAGCTTATTGGTCTGTCTTGCCACAGTCTTTGGTGTCAGATGCAGCGTCGTCAGCATCATCGTCTTGGTTGTTCTCTCTCACGCCTTTGATGGGATCTGATGAGGCGAGGATAAGCAACAGTAGCAGTGGTGGGAGTAGCAGCAATTTGCAGCAGTAGCGCGAGCAGCAGCAGCAGCAGTAGCAGTAGCCGCAGCCGTAGTCATAGTCGTAGTCGTCATATCATCATCATCATCATCATCATCTGCTGCGCTAGCACCATCAGTTTCATCGTGCGGGCATTGAGTAATCTCGTATCTGACCCTGCATCGTAGGTTCGTCCTGGCCATCACCGTCATCGTCATCATCATGGCCGTCGTCACTTTCAATGTTGTGGTCATTGTTTGTCACTGCCATTTTCCGGTGTTCTCTCCTTTTCCAGTCGTCATCGCGCTCCTCCTCTGCCTGCCCTCTTCATCCTCTTTTCCGAACTCGCAGCCACAGCTGTCGTAGCCACATGTAGCCACAGTAATCGTGATGCTACTGCACAAGACGACGACCAGATGATGAAGCTCTGCATCCTGTTTGGGAGGTCAATTTTCCGTTCTCCAGAAAGCCTTTGAGAACATCATCAACGGGCACATCGAAGTAGAGTTGGACATTCTTGTCACACTGCATTGCTGGGTGCATTCACGCTTGATGGGAAATGATGAGGATTAAGAGATAGTCACTTCTTCTTTGTTTCGCAGGACATCCCCCTTCAGTGGAGTGGCTATACGCGGTCCATTTCGAAAGCAGACAGGAAGGAGCTCAGACGTGGTTATGTTTGGCTGGATTGGTTCTCCATTCCACAGATCGAAGTCAAGGAGCCCTGGCGACACACCTTGCATCGCACGCGCAGACAGACACATTGTCATGCACACAAGCACATTCAAGGACGGAGAGCACAGGGCTAATCCTGTGTGTGACAGTTGACGCAGGGCACTGTTTACCCTTCGCATCAGACTTGAAGAGGCGGACAATGTCACAGAGGTAATTATTGGATTACTGCATGCGATACAAGTATACACAGCGACGATAGTTTCAGTATGTCATAAGCAGCACCAGGAATGTAGCCACATCCTGGTGAAGTCACCCTGCTGGCAACGATATGCGCTGACCATGCTCCAGGTCGCAAGATCCTCCCCCTCCCCCACCCACACACGCACGCGCGCACGCACACACACACGCACACACGCGCACGCGCACACACACACACACACACACACACACACACACACGCACGCACGCTTCTTCCACAGCTCTCTGACGTCCGAATGTCATGGCTGAGCAGGTGGCATATCACAGAAATGACCGCCACAACATTTCAAACACAACCTCCTACAGCGCACGACAGCACAGCATAAGCTGCAACGCCGCCACTGGAGACAGCAAGGACTCAAGGCCCGACTAGAGTCTACGGCACGAGAGTCTTGCACCCCACCCCCTGGAAAAGCATGGCTTACGCATGCCCCGTGTACAACTCAGTGCTCGTA